TCATCCTCGTCTACTTCTGAGTCTTCCTCCTCATCAGCCTTAAGAGCCAATCCCTTGTTCCTTATGGATTCGTTGTTGACTCCAAGGTGCAGCTCATGAATCATGAGAGAACCTGCTACTTGTTCAATGTTGAACTTAGTAAAGTCCTTCGTTTCCTAAAGGGCTATCACCTTGGCTCTCCATCTCTCATATTGCGGAAGACTTCTAAAAACCTTCCTAACCTGCTCATCTGTAGGAATTTGTCTACCAAGGGAAACCAACTCATTTATGATGTTAGTAAAACGGGTTAGCATCTCTTGAATGGTCTCCTTAGGCTGCATTTCAAATCTTTCATACTTAGACATAAGTAGATCGATTTTTTAGCGTTTAACCTCAATAGTTCCTTCATGAGTAATCTGCAGAAAATCCCAGATTTCCTTAGCGTTCTTGCACCCCAAAACACAATTGTGTTCATGAGGTCCAAGTCCGCAGTGGAGCAATTTCACATCCATAGCATTTATTTCCATTTTATCAAAATCCTCTTTCTCATATTCAGACATAGGCTTAGGGATTACCTCATTCTGAGCATTTGTTTTCTTCGAAATCACCAACCTCAATGACCCTCCAGACTTGGTAGTTCTCCGCCTTGATAAAGATCTCCATGCGGTTCTTCCAGTAGGTATAGAACTTGTCGTTGAACATAGGAGGCCTCTGACTTGAGTATCCTTCCTCGAGCTTTTCATGAGTATTCATTTTCTCCAAGACCTTTCTTCTTCAGGGTTTCCTGATTACCTAGAAGTTAGGCTCTGATACCAATTGTTGTTTTAATGAATACTATAAGAAAGGGGGTTGAATTGTAGTATGAGAGTTTAGCCAAACTTTTTGCGGAATTAAAACTAAGTAAGCTAAAGGAACATAAAGATAAATCGAAGGAACTAAAAGATGCAAGAGAGATTTTTACGTGGAAAACTCCTTGGCCCTAACAAGGAGAAAAACTACGACCACTTGAGATTTTGGGAAAAGAATCTTCACTAGAATAGGGCAAATGGTCCTATTACAAACTAAAGACTCAAACTTCAAGTTCCTCAACGAACATGAAACCCCGAGGAACAAGTCACCCAACTTGTTACTCTTCTTTTCTCTTTCTCTCTTCTCACTTCTCACTTCTCTTTTCTCTCTTCTCTCTTCTGTCTTCTCTTTCCCTGTTCTTTCTCTTCTCTTTCTCACTTCTCTTTCTCATACACAGAAGTTCACTCAAACTTCCCCATTCCCCAAATTACAACTCGAGAGAAAAATAAAACTCTAGTATAAGAACATAAGAACACTCTATATTACTTATGTGGAATTTACACTTGACTCGAATTAAAAGCTAAAAAACTTATGTGAGCATGGGTGAGATTTTCCAACAGAAATTATGAGCTATTTATAGAGTAATAAACGCATTGGAAAATCATCTTTGTGCAGCAACACCATTACGCCACTACTCCAACCCACTAAGAAGATCATGTCCCTTAATTTAAGGAAGCATAAACTCCTCAATGTGCAAGACCATGTCTCGAAGAAGAACATGGGATGTAGGCCGCAAGTTTTGGAAAACATGGAGATTTTATTTTTCAAAAGATATTTTCGATAATCAGAAATAAAATAAAATCTTTTTGGTTAAGAAAAAGATAAACGTTAAAGACTTAACCACTTTCCTAAAAACTGGCATGCACAATTTTATCTATTTAGACCTATTCCACACAGCTTTTTCTAGTGCAATTTAATATCTTATACTTACATAAATCCTAGAATATAAAAATATATTTTAGTCTTCATGTCTCTAATGAAGCTTATACTCCGAGGCTCCTGTTCCTTGGAAGGAACTTTTCTTCTCTGGTGAGGCTTCTACTCTGAATCTTTTGTTCCCTGAGGGGAACCTTCTCTTCTCAAGTCTTCATTTCTGAAGCATCAGTTCCTTCACAAGAACTCTTCTTTATTGATAACTCTGTTTCTGGCTTTCTTATTACTCATGGTATCTTTGCACGACACTTAATTCTCCTAGTCATTGCATCTGATCACACACTTAAACAATCAAGCTCTTATTATTCTGTAAGCAAGTGAGATCGTGTCATCATCAAAATCATTAAGTCCAACAGCTTCTATCCCAAAAACAATAACAATCATCCCACCCATATCGCCAACAAAATGTTAGGAGGGCTATGGCTCATGGGTCAACACGTTGAGTGATTGATTCGTGCATCGTCCCTTAAGATATGGTACCTTTGGACACCCAAGCCTTGACCTTAGAATAACATTGTACGCTTTGATGGTTCCTTTTATGTGCTTATGTGACTACATGAATATGTGCTTTGTTTCTAAAATAGAAAAATTGTCGAACCTACCAGGTGGCAAGCGCAACAGTCTAAGTTGTGCGCGCCCTCCAATCACAAGTTCAGAAGTTGCGCGCGGCACCTCCGCGTAACTCTATGTCTTGCACGCGCCCACTGTTCAATGTTGACTTTGACTCGTTACGAGCAATATCATACGGAGAAAACGATATTACCGCTTCAAGGTTCATTGTTAAGTAGGTGCTAAAAAAATCTCTTTGGCTAACAACGTTGTCTAACTTGGTTACCTTTACTTTGATCGTCGTTTTCGTTTTTTCAAAAAAAATAAAAAAATAACCGTTCTAAGGAAGGATTCCCTACGGTGGGAACACCCTCCTTACAATGTATCGTGATTAGACATCTCCTAGTCATAGGTGTCTTTAGTTAGCCACTCAAACATACTCCAATTCTCATTAATAGTATTAGACATAAATTGACCTTCGGACATAGATTCTACAACAACTCCCATTTCATCATTTAAACCTTGAAAAAGTACTTCACAAATAACTACCTTAAAAAAACTACCACCATAATTATAACCAATATATTCATTAACCCTATGGTAATATCTCCAAAATGTTTCATTCTCATACTAGGGAAGGGAAAAATTGTCATTTTTTTCAATGGAAGAAACCCCAAAATAAAATTAAAAAATAATAATAATAAAAAGAGAAGAAATAAAAAAAAATGTACAAAGACCTAGACTCATCTAATCAATACTTAGCCAATGTCAACCGAAGTCCCCGCCAACGGCGCCAAAATTTGATAGGTCGTCATCGAACCTACCAAAGACAAAAACATAACTTGGTCTCTCTAATGGGTAGAAAGGGCAAGTAAGGGGTCGATCCCACAAGGACTAAGAGGAGCACTAGCAAGTATCGATTTGTGATAAGCTAAGTCAAGTCTTTTTGGGTTTTGAGTTATAAAGAAAAACTACAAACAATAATAAAAAGGATCTTGGGAAGGTATCCACCAATTAAGTCATTTACAAACTACAATTTAACATACAAAACATAGCAATTTGGGGATAAATTAGGGGAAGTCATCTAAGGCACCCAACTACTCTCTTAAGTTAGAGGGATTACTTGAGTAATGAATACAACCTACTCTCTTGGTTACAAAGCATAAAAAAAAGTGTTAAAGCATAATCACGATGACATAAACATTCCTTTGACTGGAAATTCCTATTCTCATGGAATTTCAAGTCAATCAAGCATAATGGAGCTAACTCAAGTTCATCTCTCGATCCTTCGTTGAGAAAGCTTAGATAAATAGTTCTAGCAATGGCCACTTACAAGAACTAACAATGAAACCACTTAAGCTCAACTAATTAACATCCCACATTAGCTAAATTAACACATGCGAACAAGTATTTGTGAATTCATCAATGGTTTCAACCATCCCAAGTAAAAGAACTACTCACAAATCATAATAAATTGCAAAACTAAAGGAATAATTAGCAACTAAGAACATGAAATCAAACACTAATTTAACATAAACAAGTAATAAAACAAGAAAAGATACAAAAATAAGCAATGAAAGCAATAAAATAAGAGAGAGAGTAAGAAATTCTCATTGATATTGCAAGAAATTAAATAATCAAATCTTCAAGTCTCGTTCCTTCAATTCTTCATATTCTAAACTTTCAACAAGTTTTCACACTTTCTCTCTCTAGAAAATGAGAGTTTCTCTCTCTAAAAATCCTAACCTAAGCTAAAACTACACTAAGAAGATCTTCTTTTCAACAATCATAGCTAAGAAGGTATTTATATTACCCCAAATAAAAAGCACGGAGAAAACGAGAAAAAGCCCGAAAACAGGCTTGCATGGACGTGCAAGAGAGATAAAAATGAGGCAGAAGCTACTGCCAAGGCCTGCACGAACGTGCAGATTTTGGCACGGACGTGTAGCCTTGCACGGACGTGCAACAAAATGGCACATCCGTGCAGAAACCCCTGCATGAATAACTTGACTTCGGGAGGCTGTAACTTCCTCGTTTCTAGTCGAAAATGGTCTTGTGACCAGTCGTTGGAAAGCTCTTGAGTCGAAATTTAATAACTAATATAATTTGAATCACTTCAAAAAGATGAGTAGAACAAAAGTTATGGTCAGTTGAAATTAACCCTTGTGCAACCAACCCTTCAAGGCTTTCCAAAAGCTTTTCATTTGTCTTTAAGGCACTCATCCTTCTTCCTCCATTGCTCAATCAACCAATCTTGCCCTTCTCCTTGCTCACTCATGCTTGATCACATCCATAGTGCTAAAAATAGCTACATTACATAAAAAAACACAAATAACCCGTGAAGCATGAATGGTACCAAATTTGCATAAAAATAGGATAAATAATGAACTTTGATACAGAATAATAACGAAAACAAGGTTCAAAAGTACCCTAAAATCATACCAAATAGCAAGTTATTAACTACCTCTACGGTGTCTCTTGTAAGATCTTCATGGACCATAAGAGTCTGAAGTACATCTCACCCAAGATCACTTGAATGTGCGGCAACGTAGATGGCTAGAGTTTCTCACAGACTACTATTTCCACAACCAGTATCACAAGGGAAAGGTAATTTTTTTTGCAGATGCCCTTAGTAGAAATTCGAGTCATAATGTCAATGCTTTGATTGCGGCCAATGAATTGTGTGAGGTATGAGGAGATTGAACCTTGAGGTTATTAACCAAGGAGAGGTAGAAGGATTGCTGAGTGCCTTGACCATCCAACCATCGATATTTGAGGAGATTAAAGAAAAGCAATCGGAAGATGAGTCTTTTCAGAAGGTTAGGGATCGAGTGACTAGTGGTGCGGAGACTGAATTCAAGATTCAAGAAGATGGGAGTTTGAGATACAAGGAGATATGGTGCTTTCCACAAAAGTGTGAGGATATAAAATTGAAAATCATGGAGGAGTGCCATAACACACCATATTCAGTTCACCCTAGGGGAGATAAGTTGTATAAGGACTTAAAGGAGTTGCATTGGTGGCCGAATATGAAGAGAGAAGTTGCTGAGTTTGTATTCAAGTGTCTAACGTGCCAGAAGGTGAAGATAGACCATAAAAGACCCATGGGAAAGGTGCAACCATTGGAAATACTAGGATGGAAATGAGATTCTATATCCATGGACTTTGTGGCAGGTTTACCAAAGACTCGTAGTGGGAATGACACGATTTGGGTGATTGCATGTGGACAGACTTACTAAGTCAGCGATGTTCATTCCTATTAAGGAGACTTGGAAAAAGAAGCAGCTAGCAAGTACGTAGTGTCAGATACTTATGTGAAGAATGTAGTTCGTTTGCATGGAGTCCCCAAGGACATAGTGTCAGATAGAGGTTCGAGGTTTCTATCAAAGTTGTGGCAAAAAGTGCAAGAAAACCTTGGAACAGCCTTGATGATGAGCACTACCTTTCATCCTACAACAGATGGCTAAATTGAGAGAACAAACCAAACCATAGAGGATATGCTGTGAGCATGTGCTTTAGATTTCCAAGGGAATTGGGAGGATCACCTACCTTTGATCGAATTCTCCTACAATAACAGTTACTATACAAGTATCAAAATGGCATCTTTTGGAGCATTGTATGGAAGGAAGAGCAAAAGCCCAGTGTGTTGGAATGATTATAGTGAACATGTTACTTTAGGGACAGAATTTATTGAGGATATGGTGAGCAAGGTGAGACTGAGTCAGTCACGAATAAAGGTAGCACAAGATAGGCAAAAGAACTATGCCGACTTGAAGAGAAGGGATGATGAGTTTAGTGTTGGGGACAAGGTCTTTCTAAAGGTTTCTCCAACAAAAGGCATGATGCGATTCGGCATGAAAGGGAAGCTTAGTGCTAAGTATGTGGGGCCGTATGAAATTCTTCAACATGTGGGGAAAGTGGCTTATCAGTTGGCTTTGCCAATGGAGTTTGAGAAAATGCATGATGTGTTCCACATTTCCCAACTAAAGAAGTATGTGCCTAGTGAAACTCACGTGTTGCAACCAGAGACTATTCAACCAGATGAGTCTCTAACTTATGAAGAAATACTAGTCAAAATCCTAGATCACAAGGTGCGTAGTACTAGAAACAAAGATGTGAAGATAGTGAAGGTCCTTTGATTTAACCAAGAATACGAAGAGGCAACTTGGGAAGCCGAGGAAGAGATGAGAAAAAAGTACTCTGATTTATTTGACGAGGTGAGTTACGAGGGCGTAACTCTTTTCTTGTAAGGGGGGTAGAATGCGATGTAATTTCGCGCTTTTTATCTCAATTATGCTATTTATTGCTTAAGTTTGCATGATTTTGCTTATTATTATACATTATTATTGTGTTTACATGCAATAAAAGTATGTAAACTTTGGACAAGTACGAGTTCATTCGTTTAAAGTCTAGTTTGTTAAGTATAAATGTTGAGGATCAAGCAATTTACAGCAATACAAAACGCAAAGTTTGAATGGTTTTGGAAAAATTATGGTTTTTAGGTTAAGTTTCAAGGGTGAAACTTCTTTTAAGTGGGGTAGATTGTAATCCCCCATATTTTCAAATTAATTACTACCTCCGGTTCAATTTACTCGCATAAAAGTACAAGTTTTCGGAAACCAAGGCAAAAGATGAAAGCATGATTATGGAAAAATAAGGGTATATGCTTAACTATTAATCCAACCAAAAAAACAAATTCAACCTTAATTAAATTAAATAACCTGCCACCACTGATACCACCAAGCATCACCCAAACCACCCACCACCACCACCCACCATCACCGAAACCACCCAGCACTAAACCCAACACCGCCGACGCACCACCACTACCCCAAGCACCTACAAAACACAAACCCAAAACCCACCGAACCCAACACCCCACAAACCCAGCAACCTCCGACCCACCACCATTCCACGCACCTAGCAACCTACGAACCCAGCACCCACAAACTCGGAACCCACCGAACCCATCTCCCCAAGAACCTAGCAACCCGTCAACCACCACCACCACCACCACCCCCACGCACCCAGGAAACCACCGAACCCAGTATCAACGAACCAACGAAACCTACCCACGAACCCAGCACCCCACGAACCCAACATTCACGAACCAACGAAACCAACCCACCAAACCAACGAAACCAGCTACGACCCACGAAACCAACCCACAAAACCCGTCGATCTGAAACCATGAAACCCGACCCACAAATCAAACCCACGACGTCACCGATCTGCAACCCCCGCTGCTCTTAACACCACGAAGCCACCATGAAAAAGGGGTTGGAGGAGGAGAGAGAAAATTAAAGGGGATTTGCGTTTAATTAATTAAGCTTGGGTCTAATTAATTAAGCTTGGGTTTAGTCTAATGAAATCAAATTTGTAGTTTAATAAGGTTGTTTAAAAAAAAGTAAGGGTATATTGGTCAATTACCATCCAAAAACGTACTAAAAAAGGAAAGAAACAAGTTTGTTGCAAGTAAATTGAACCACCCAAAAAAAGGAAATTGTTGCGAGTAAATTGAACCGGAGATAGTATAATATATTTATTTGTTATTCATACAAATATTTTATGTCGATTTCATTCAATAAATTATTTTATGATAAGATTTAAGTAAACAAATATGTTTTGACTAATTTAAAAACAATTTTAACTTAATAGCCCAAAACCTCAAGTTTACTCCAAATCTAATTAGGAAACCCAAGGCCCAAATAAAACCCCAAAAACCCTCACACTTCTTCCTCTCTCACGTAAAAAAAAAAAAACAAAACTTTCTCACTCATTCCTCCTCTTTCACGGCTCACACAAAGGAAAAAAATTTTGAAACCCTTCGAACTGCTCACTGCTGCCTTAACCACCCAGCTGTCGCCGCACCACCGTCGCGCTGCTGCCTAGCCACCACTACTGTAGTTTGCCTCCTTCTTCCTCCCTTTTCTTTACGTCTTTTTATATTATTAAATTGATTTAAAGTTTCAATCTTTATTTAATTTTTATTCTAAATTATTATTATTATTATTATTTTGGTTTGATATTATACATAAGTTATACAAGATTATGAATTTATGAGTTTTGACATGTTTAATTTATGATACAAAATTTCAGATTTTATATTATGTATAATTTAGGGTAGGGTTTAAATTTTGATTTTTTGTGTTTTAAGGTTTGTAAACGTGTTAAGCAAGTTAATTATCAATACTATGACTTCATAATGACAAAACCCACAATTTTGAACTTAAAATTAATTTTCAGATTATATATCTTGTGAAATTGGAGTTTATGTTGTTTATTTGAAGGGTTTTAAGGTTTTAATGTGTAATATACTATTTTAACTATTGAATTATGAATATAGATCTTTAAAAGTTTGAAATTTATAATTAAAATTATTTTCAGATTTAATATAATCTGATTTTTGTTAGTTTTAATGCTTCTATAAGTTTTAAAAACTATTTATGCAATATGATAAGTATAGATTATTTGAATTGCAAAAAGTATTAATAAAACAAAATTTCAACACATGTTAGTAAGTTAAACTTGCTGGAATTTTACATTTTACACTATATTTTCATGATATTGGCATATAAACTTATAGTTAGAATATTATATTATTAACTTTGACTAATGAGAACAATTTAAAGGTTTTATTTTGATGGTTTAAGATGTTTTAAAGTAGTTTGGAATTGTTGTAAATTTATTTGCTTGGGTGTTGATTTAATTCTTGTTGTTGGTTTAGGAGAGGACTTTGTAGAAGGCGACTTCTAGTTCCTAAAGTGGCCAACCGAATCGTTTATACAAGATACGTACGAGTTACAAAACCTTGCCTTTAGATGCATGTTTAGGGAGGTATCGAGAACTTAGTATCATGTATAGAGAAGACTGGGCTAAATTGTTTGGTTATACATTGTGATTTCTGTATGTTGTGCACTATTCTACATTGCAAGTATTATTTATGCATTAATTATGCAAGATGCGCTTAGAGGCAAAGGTATGCAATTTGGTGAAATGATTCATTTATTACTCATTCATGATCATGGAAATTGAATGAGTAAAGGAAGAATTTAAGTCTTATAAGGCGAGGTTGAGATTGTAGGGTGCTTTCACTCAAGGTGTTTATACACGAGGTAGTTAAAGGAATAAATAGTAAATGTTGTTTATCACTAATTAATCAAGAATTGAAATTGTAAACTTGCTTTACTTGATTGAATTGATATTGGATTGATTGTATTATTTTGCATATGAGTCATCATCAAGTCTAAACTTGTAAATTACGAAAAGTGCACGATGGATGAGCAATAAAACTCTGGATTTGTGCACATGTGGAGTAGTGACAATCAGGGGTTGGGCCCGTAAGGGTGCTAATCGAGTGAGTCGATCACGATCTAAGGGGTGCTCGACTCGTGATCGAAAACTAGAGCTTATGCTTTACTCGTGATCGTTACTCGTTAAGTTAATTCTCGGCTCGTGATCGTTTATTTTTTTGGTAGCTCGACTCGGGCTCAAAAATGCTCGTTACTCGTTAAGCTGCAATGGCTCGAATCAGCTCATTAACTCAAAAACTCAATTGATCGACTCGTAACTCACTAAGCTCGATAGCTCAGCTCATCAGCAGCTCGTCTAATTTCATTTTTCTGTTTTTTTATATATATAATTGTAACTTAACTATTTAATATATTAAACTAATATAAACTACTTATTTTTACATATATAATTTTTTACAAAAATACCAAATAAAATCTAACATAAAAGATGTTTTACAAATTCAAATTCTTACACAACAAACATTTAGAATAACAAACTAAGTACTACAATCATTAACAAATTTATCACATAACCAAAGAAAATGAATACAGGGAATCATTTTTTTCTTCAATTTGTCTGGTTGCAAATTCTCCCTTCAATCTTCTCCAACATCCCACAAAAAATAATATATTTCAAATCCAAATTAATAAATAATAAACTTATATGTAAGATGTAAAACTTATAAATTAAGTCCAGTATCTCAGTATTAGGAAATTGGAATAATGATTTCTTTTGGTTCTTCTTCTCCAAAGTTATTCTACAATCAAAATAATAGTATTAAGTTAAAATAATACTTGTAGTAGATACAAATTATAAATTATATATATATAAAATTTACATTCTACAAAATATATATATATAGAACTTACTTCACCAATCTCCAGAACAAAGCAACATTTGCACAGTTTCCGGAGTTAGTAAAGCTCTATAAGGATCAATAACACGACTCTCTGCACTAAGTGTAGCTTCCGATGCTACAGTTGTTATGGGAACCGCTAAGATATCAACGGCTAATTTAGAAAGCACACGATACTTCATTGATTTTTCTTTCCACCATTCCACAGGAACAAACTTTTCATTTCCTTCAATTAATAAATATCCCTCCTCAAGATATTCATCAAATTCAGATTTTTTGAATGAAATAGCAGCTTGTGTGCTTCTCACATCTTGCAAAATTTGATACAAAGCTGATTCACCACCTAAATTTGTACTATTTCTAGCAATAGATTCCCCACTTTGTTTCATATTAGGAGGGAAATACAAATTAGCATTGTAGACACCCATTTGTGTCTCCCCAAAACCAAACCCAGTGATGAATACCTTTCGCGTCGAATCATAATCGAATGAAGTGAAAGTGTGGAAAGTCTAGTGTTGTGGTTAGTTTTTATAAAAAAATCTCTCTTTCTGTTTTCGAAAACCTACTCTATTTTATGAAAATAGCCAATCCAGTTTATTTTGGTCCATAACAAGGTTCCAATAATAGTGTAGTTGGATAGGGCTCGAAAAGAGCTTTCCAACGATATATTATAAGCTCAATTCTGATGAATAATGAGGAAGTTATGGCCAAATTATTAAACTGGGCCCGGTTTGGTTCTTATATGCGGCCCAATGATCTAGAGAAGGGCCTATTATGAATTATCATTCCTAATGCAATAAGGATTGATTATAGTCTTCTAGAATCTTCTAGAAAGTTCTTTTGAATCCTAATGGGATTAGGATTGATAATTATGTTTTATGAGTTTTATTTGGAATAAAAGAAGTGTTTTAAGTGAAATTACAATTTTACCCTTCGTACGGACTTTTACGAATTGATTTTATCAAAAAATAGAAAACGAGTGGAAAAACC